TATATCGTTCCTCTTCTCCGGCGGCGATTTATGAGGCTGCTTTCGGACTCGCTGTTCGTCACGTCAGGGGATTCTTACCTTTTCCGAGAACGAGCTAAAGTATAGTGGTTAATTTTGGGTGGTGGATTTTGTCGGGACTCTTACTTTATGACGACAGAAACTAGACATTTACGCTAATTTATTATCTCTCAACGAAATCAGGGACGCGTTTACCGTTCTCCTACCCACGAATTTCTTTACGAAAATTAACTTTTGTTCGATCGAACAACACGAACGAGGTCATGGAGGTGCAGCTGAAACGGGACAAAACATTTTTAGCCCGAAGGCGTAGCGTAATTTGCATCTGGGGTTGGTAGACGTACGAAACTAGGCGAAAATTTAATTAAAGTCGCCGCGAGCTACCGGCACCGGCAGCCGCGAAACGCCTCGGACCTCATTTATACATTTGCCAATTATTGAACTAAATGGAAGTACATTACGCGGCATTTACATTCCGATAATTATGCCGCGAGATTTCGAAATCACGCGTTGCCCCCGTTCCGCGGCTGTTAAACATTCAACGACTCCGATGCGAGAGCCATTCACGCACCGCTAATTGCAATCGACGTTCAATCGTTGTTTCCCCAGACATTCTATTGCCTTAATTGTTCTCGCCTGTTGTCGCTGCCAAAAACAATAATACTGCACCCCCGTTCGCGAGTCAAGTATATATTTGAAAACAGAAACGAACGAGACGTTCTAAAAATATGAATTCTGCGATATTTTATTGAATATTCGAAGAAAGATGAAATTACGTCAAATATCATTGTTTCAGAACTATCTGTCATACATTGCTGAAATATTTCAAAAGCCAAAGCGCATATAGAAGTGAAGTAGTTATCGGTGAATGCGTTTGATATTCCGTAGAAAGATTCCGTGTCCGTATGGCCACTCAAAACGATAAATTCCGATAAATTCTATCTTGCAGGATTTCTGGCAGTCAGTTTTCTGCATGCCTTATCGGGTTCCAAAGGTTCGGAAGGGAGCTGCCGCGTCTCCATTGATCCTTTCCTCTGTCTCCTACCGTCTTCCGTGGCAACCCGTCCTTCCTTCCTGTTCCTCCGTCCGGTTGCCAAACGGTGACGAAAGTTCGAAGAATTAAATATTGATTTTGTTTGCGAGCGAGGCAGCAAATCCCAAGTTTATCGCTGATTCCGGTCGAAAATCCACTCGAGCCAAGTTTAAAAGGGCGCGACCAAGCTACCTCTACCCTCGACGTGCCGGCGAAAACGATTTAGCTTCTATTTGCGTGCCGTGGATGCCCTCGAACTTGGATGAATCGAAACTTATTGCTTCCCTCCGCCTTTTATCGTTCTATTCAAGCCGTATTCGGAAGCCGCCGTGAAAAACTTCTGTCCCGGGGACACGGCAGCTGCAAGAATGGCTTTAAGGTTCGATCCGAAACCTCTCTCGCTCTCTCTCCTTCCGTCTCTCTCGGTTCTCCTTCGAGCTTAAGCCATTGCGTTGTTAGACCTTGACGTCATTGCGGTGCCTTCATCAATCCTCAGTATTCTGCGACTTCGCGTCAGGAATCGATCACTCGATATACATATAGAACGTGCCCGCCGCAATCACGAGTCTTTGCCTGCTCCCGGCCTTGAGCCCTGCTAAGTAACCCCACCGATGAGGCTGTTAGCACGGTGCGAGAAAATGTGCAGCCCTGTCGTCGAACAAGACGGAAGCGTCTGTCCTTCGTATGAACTTTAAAGGAGCTCGAACAAACTTCCATTAGGGACCCGGGGCGAGGAACTCCGAAAAGCTTCGTCTCACGACTTGCGAGGTGAAAATTGCTTTCTCGTAAAATCGAACTAAGACCGGCTATCCGGTTAAAATGATAATGCAGAATTCTTCGCTCTTCCAACGCGAAAATTCCGCAAGAAAATTACGCGAGAGGCGAACGCAGATTAAACACCGGACCTGACCCAGTTGCAAAGTTGCTGGGCGATAATTACAGCGTCGCCTGGGTAGGTCGGATAAATTGAAAAAATACTCGCCGTTGAGACGCGCGTGGGCGACGTAGTCGGGGCTTCAAAATTCAGGGCACGAGCTACGCACGCTTCTTCCCTACCGCCGCGGCGTGCAATTTAACGAAAATTCCCGGCATAGCCACCGGTCATCGGGTAGGCCCCCCTAATGAAACCGCGGTCGGTTAATTAACCTAGCGGATCGATTAATCATCTTTAGGACGTCCCTTAGCGACCTTGCTTCCTTTTCGATCCAGCGGAAAGTGTCGGGAGATAATTATCGAGATGTTATTCTGTACTAATGTAAAAGAAGCAACAGCTCCCCGTAGACAATCGAGATTGGTAAAAAACCAATGAAACAAGGACTATTATAAAACTTTGTTAATCTTCATTTTCGTATCTGCTCTTACATAAATGTATAGATTCTTATAAGTTTATTCGTATATTTACTCAAGCTTTTTGTCCGTTGCTTTCTTATTCGACCACTTTTTTCGCTTGGAAAAACACACGATCGTTCATCCGCTACATGGGCAGCAGGATTAAGGAGGAAAGAGTCGTGTAGATCAATTGATGGATATGTCGATCTGCGAACGAAAGGGTCCGAGTAACAGCCTCGAGTCTCGGTCCAGTGATCCAAATGATCGAACGTCTGTTCCCCGTGTCCGATCAGAAATGATCGGATTCGGCTGGAATTCGTTCCGGGCGCGATTATCGATCCAGAAAGTGGACCAACACGAAAACCATGGACGCAGTGACCTGCGATGTCCGCCATGCGCGAGAGACTTAATTTTCCTCCGGCGTAATGGACACTTCCGGTCCAGTTAGCAAGCGCAGCCTGCCAAGACAGGGCAGCAGCCAGAAAATATCGCGGCGCTCGGTTTAAACGCGAGACCGCGTTCGTCCCGCGCGAATGAAAGCACGGACACGCCTCGCGTCCATTCGGTTAATTTGGAAATAAGGGAGAATTTACGACGTCTACGGATCTCGTTAAACCTTTCCGCGATTAAGAGATTCGCACGTATTTCATCCGGCGCAGGAGCAAATTAAATCGGTCATCCCGTCAAGCCATTTACGGCGTATTTTATTCTTAAACCCGCGAAAGAAAATATGACCATGGGCACTTGTTCACTAAAATGGTTTTAAACGCGAATGAAAGCTCTATAAATTCCTTCGAGAGTCAACTGACTGATAGGTAATGAATCCTCTTCAATAGCCTCTCCAGAGGATTAACAATAGACGATTTCATCCATTGTTCTTCTTTGAAGCACGCTCAAGGTACGAAAGCGTTCGTAGGAAAAGTTTCAAAAGCTCTTCGAATTCAGCTAAAACTTTTCGCTTCCGGTTTTCCGTTTATGTCTGACAACTCAATACGAGTTATCGCATATCTGCATTATACTCCATAACGTTACCTTCGATATTTATGAATTTAATGTATGTGAAGACGAATCTAACGTATCTGTAAACTCGGAGATCCGTAAAACCTTGGCAAACGACGCAATGAGAGCCAGCCATCTCCGGTCGTTATTGCTTCACGAGCTCTTAACCAACTTTACTCGGAATAAATAAAAACCTGCTAAAACCATGAAACTCAGAGTCACATTTGTCATCAGTTCCTTCCTCGGAACACCTTAAATTTTATGCAAACGAGTGGGCGCTCAACAAAATTCACCTGCAGCTATTCAAAAACTGCAGCTTCTATCGAATTTCACGCAATTACAGTGTGACGCAGACGAAAGCCGCAACGAATCATTCGCAGCGCGTAAACCCGGTTACACGCGTCCCGTCGGAGTTGTCGGCTTTGCAAACCGTGAAGCTTGGCGACAGAGGAACGCGACGGTTGGTCACGGGGCTCCGAGATTCCAGATCGCATCCCGGCCACGTTTCCGTATTCCGCGCCGAATATCAAACGCGAAATACCCAAACTCGCTTCCGCTATCGCTTTCTTGCGGTGACGCGCGTCAGGACAATAACGTTACGCGGCGCGACGTCGACGGAACGCCGTTTGACGTGCGGTTGCCTCTAGCGATTCGAGGGAATCGAGATTTCATCGGAACCAACCAGGTTTTCTTAGCCTCTGGCTCTTAAATTATGAAAATACTTTATCTTGAGCATTTCCTATCAGTAAAACGATAGTACAAATTGATAGTGAAGTTTAACGTGATTTCGAAGTCTCAAGAATTTTACAAGCATCTTACTAATTTGATATTTGTTCTTCTGTTGCAGGTGAGTCGAGAAATACCTTAATTGGAATGGACTTTATGAGGTACTTAAGTTTTACTATTATTCTTACTGCTGGTCTATTAAGTCGAGACTTAAAAGCTACTTAAAACTCGATTACGAGTGAATTTAATATTTCTAAACCATTATCGACTTCTGTTCAAATGGAAACGAAAATGTAATCTAACAGAACACTTTCACCCACTGGGAAGTCATCGACCCCAAAGTTAAGCGTCACGGTACTTGTCACCATCTCCCTATCTCGACCCCAACGCGAAAGAGACACGCGTTACGCAATCCTCGGTGCGAGCATCCCCGATCCTCGTCGACGTTCACCCTTTCCGACAGTATCCATTACGTAACTCTTTTGGAAACGGAGAAAGTAGCGTGGGCGAAGCAAGAGTTGCCGCAGTCGCGCGAAAAAGGTGATTACGAGCGGCTGTCAGCGATAGACAAGGAGGGCCGCTAGTGTAACACAACAGCCAACAGGGAAGAACCTGGAGGAGAGGTTGCGGGCACAGTTTGGCAGAACTCCCGATTCCGTATTCTGCAGTGATCCTCCGCAACCCCGTGCACGGAAGTCGCGTCGCGCGTGCCGTTGTTATTGTTGTTCGCTAGCCCCTCCGTGTTGGAGGAGGACGAATATATAGGACTGTTAAGGACAGGCAGGCATTTTTGTTTGGGATTACGTAGCGCGCATGTGACGTAGAGCACGCTCTCTGTCGCTCCCTCTGTCTCGCGAGCACGACTCCGAGGACGCCAGGAACACAAGTTCCCTCTCAGTGGCCCGTGAACCGCGACCGGAGCAGTACACGCTCTCGCTGTCGTTCGATCGATCAATCGCTTACCAAGGCACGCGTTCGACCACCCTCTACTGTCGGCATTCATTCTCTCTCTTCCCTTTTCTGTCTGATTCTCTTCGTATGCTGACACGTCTGCGATGAACACTTCCGGCCGTGCCCCGATACGTGAACACCTCATTCGATAATAATCAGTGATCGCGTAGTTTCGTTTCATTTTATCTAAGCCAGTGATTCACAGGTTTGTTATAAACTGCATTCATTATAAACTGCACTGCATAGTATGTTTTCTTTTTGGAAACAACTAGTTTATACTTCGATCAAGTTACAATGTAATTCAAATCGCAATATGACGAACGACAGGGACGACTAATTTGTGAATCATTGAGCGCTAGACGTGGGCACGATTGTGATTAAGTAGTTGAAGACTGTGCACCGGTTCTAATAGTTTCCCCCAACGGGAAGCCAACGTCAACGGTGGACAAATTTTTGGAGTAACAGTTGCTTCGCGAAACACGATAGAACAGAGTAATCGAACGTCCAGTGGAATTTGTAAAACGCGGAACGCGGGTATATCGGACCGATAGAAGGGGTATTACTCGACGGCTCGTTGGACAGGCCGTTATCGAGCGAAGTGGCGCGGTTTAATTCGCTCTTATTCGATCTCCGCGTGATTCGGCGTTGCGATTCGACGCGGGAAATGACTATCACGAGATACCGGTAAGGGTAATTGTTCGTCGATTCTCCTCGTTATACTCCTAGCGAAAATTTTTTGGCAACCGGAACGTATATCATGAAATAAAAAGCACAGAAACTCGGGATTTATTCGCTTATAATAAAACGTATAAAGCAAGTATTCTCCTATCTTGATTTTCAAGTGTTCTTATGACTGCACTGATTAAAAACTTTGTACCACGGGTAATATTAGCGTAGCGCTCTTTTATTTAGTCCGCGCGTAGACCGATCGATGATGCGCGGTTTTTAATTAAAAATCGCTGTCCGCCGGCATAATTAAACGGGTTTTCGTTAACGCGCGGTTAATGAAGTTACGATAACGACGGGTAAAGAGAATCCGCGAGGGTGCGAAGAGCGCTAGCGCAACCGGAGTGATAACGAGCGAGGATCGACGCGGGTAGCGCGCGATTTCGAGCGGACGCGACGACACTCTCTGGTCGTATCGAGCACTTTTCCCGATCATTTATTCACCCGTTCGCTAGGTATACGGGCTGTTACCAGCCATTCGATGAATTATTCCCGTACCCGGAGTATAGCCCGCCGTTACCGGGTGAATGGGAATGCGTGGTCCATAAGGGTTGGATGCGTCGAAAGAGCGGAAGTTGTCGTAGAGGCTGTTTACAAAGTTACGTATTTTTATAGAACCATCCATTACCGGGGAATTGCGGATAGGGTATCGGCTGTGTTTTGTATCTATCGATGGAGTTCAGGGATAGGGTGGCTAAAGTGGTTTCGATCTCTGAAGTGTGCTCACAGTTATCGTTTACGGTGTCGTAGAAGTTTCGTTTCATGAAGTCGAGGGTGATAGGATTGGCTGTTCGCTTTTCTCCTCGTACCCTCTCATTGCTCGCAGCCCGCGTTAGAAGTAAACTCTTTCCTCGAATAAAATTATTAAGTACCATCGAATCACAGACGGTCGAGTAGGTTCTCCAAGGTGAAAGGTCGAAACCAATTGCGACGGGTCTCGGAATTAGCTTCGGACGTAATTGCGACACGCGTCGCGTCAGGCGTCGCTAAGATAATTAGCAGCCCCCTCTCCGCCTGGTAGCCGACGATACTAATTAGCAGGTAAACGGCGAGCGAGAAAAATCAAGGGATCTTTTCGTGCCGCGCCAGTAATTAATCGGTCTCGGCTCAAGTTCCTAGCCAATTAGCAGAGAACCCGACCGAGCGTGCATACCGAGTCTGCGATTCTTTTCAGCCTCTTTTATCGTTATTGTTGCCCTTTGGAATCCATTTCACAGCCGAATTGATCATCTCTCCGCAGGTGCGTTTACTCTCTTCCGATTCGTTTAAAGCTAACCGAGGGTCGTAAACGAAGTCTGCGACGAGGACAGGTAGTCCATCTCGTTGCTCCGCACATCGTACGTTTCATTGTCAATAGCATCGAAAGGCGAACAACAGAAAAGATAGATTAACGCGTCCTCCCACGTGAAAAATTAAGACAGACAGGCAGAGCTTTAACTCGTGGATGACATCAGAGTCTCTATCGAGAATTACCTTGGACGCGATCGGTCGGTTACGCAACTATGTTCTCCATTTCCTCGTCTCTCTGCCCTCTGTCCACAGCTTTTAATCCGTCGATTTAACCGGGTATCTAACGAATGCCAAAGCTGTGCGCAAACTGTACGCCTCGAAAGAGAGGTAACAGGCTGCATTGTCGATCGTATTCGGTCGGGGTATCAGTTTCCATTTGGCGGTGGGGGTACCCGGCCCTTTTTCAATTAAGCTTTGATCACAAAGTCGAGATAAAACGTGCATCGGCCCGCTTCGCGTCGAGAGCCGAAACGAACATCGGTCGATCGGCCAGGGTCAGGGGATCGACGCTGTCGCGATGGATGGAAAAAGCAGAGATCCATGTTCCTCTCGTCGGAGAACACCGTTAAACGAACGAAGAGAAATATCAGTTTTTAGCGGAATCGCTTTTCGTCGTCGATCGCTTTTAACGCCGTACTGGCTTTCATCAATCTATCCGTTCGTCTCGTGTAGAGTCGCGTCAACGGAAGCACCCACGAGAATCGACCCGATCTCTTTCGATTGTTTATGATTAATCGACCGAGAACTATCCATGGGTGACTGACCTTTTTAACGCGATTCATCGTCCTTTACGATATACCATGTTCCTTGTATGAACGACACTCACTTTCGTAAGAAAATTTTTTTCTAAAAAATGTATCAAAAATTTTTAGTAAAAAGAAAGGGTTCAATTTTTGTTATGAGAAAACGAGTCGATTTTTGTGAATTCATTTAAAAAGGGGCGTCTGCTAACGCAATTTCCTTGGGGTATCTGTTTGCATAGTGTCAATGAGTTAAAACTGTAGCCTCGATTAACTCGATGTTCCTTCCGAAAGAAAAGCAACAAAAACGAAGGTATGCAAGGTGCGCAATTAGAGGAAGCAAAGGGGCCGTTCTCCCGTGGTTTAACGGCGAGTATCGCGAAATTTCACCCTTTGTGGAGGAAGCTGAATACATTACACGCCGCGGCGTCGGACCCGCTTTGAAAATAAACGAAAACCCATGGCGCGGCGAGCGAACGGCCGCGTATTTACGTGTTTGCGGAGCACCCTGTCGAGCTGCCGTTCGGTAATTAAATGCCCCTAGGAGCGACTCCGCTTTGCCCCGAACTTTGGACCCCCCGCCTGTTCGCGAATTAACGAGCGTTCTTCAAACATCGAGCAATGGAAACGCGCCATCGAGATCGTTCTCAAAGTATTATTTCGATGATTAAAAGTCACTGAACCTTTCGAGTGATCCCCATATCACGTATATGTAATACAGTGGTTGCAACAATTTGTAACATATTATTATATCTATCTTTTAATTAGTTAAATGCTTACAAATAAGGTTTGGCAAGCTACACTTTTTATCACTTATTAGCATCCAGGAATGATTTCAAAATTCTGAACAAGCAGACTATTGGAAATCATGGAGATGATTCCGATATTTTCCGCAGTCACTGTACCTGTCATTCTAAAAAATTAAATTGATCGTGTCACTCGTTCAGGAGTCTCGCGGGAAATTAACCGGCTGAGAGGGTCGCATTATTAATTCCCGCTATAATTAACGAAAACCTCGTGATCTCGGATCGAAGCGTGTCCTCCTCCATCTTTATATATCGTTCTACTCGAGAGAATTAATAAGAGGGCTGGAGACGTACGAGGCGGGTGTTGCGACTCGAGTTGCAGTTTTATTAAATCAGCTTTACGGGGAAACTTTTTTTAGTGGTGCTTCGCGAGAGAACGTGACAACGTTCCGTCGTACCGGCAGACCGTAACCGTCCCCGGACGATATTCCACGCAGTAAAAACGCCGAAACTATCTGAAACTCGTATAACTGTAGAGAATACCACGCGTGCCGGATAATACGAGCAGCTAACTGTCTTTCGATTCGCGTTTCATCTCTACGAAATCGTATTTCGCTATTGCCCCAATAGCTCTTCCGATTAGGAGATGATGACAGAGAATCGTTGTTAGGCTTGTGGCTGGCTTTCAAATTAGAATCCCTGATTTTCGGGTTATTACGAGTTTGGCTTGGGTGCAACGAAGCGAGGGGGAGGGAAACGCATTAGCCGAAAGGAAATCACGTAGCGTCGTGTCGGAGGAAAAACAGCCGGCAAGAAATTCCGCGGCGCGTTTTTCTGTGAGCAGGCTCAATTAGTCAGAAGTAGGCGAGTTCCCTGAGGAGAAGGCAGGGATGAGGAGCGAGGAAAGCGAAGGCGACACAACCGGCGCGTTTTCTTTTTCGTTCGCGTCACCGTCTCTTCGGAAAGGAGAGAACAGGAAACATCAAGCTTCTTTCTCCTGGAAATCGGCCGTTCGTGCTCCAAACGGGGCTTAAAAATATCCCGCGACTGAAAATAGTCGATTCGAGCCAGCGAACACCCTCGTCGCATCGCGTCGCGATGCTCTTGGTGCCTAGCTAGCTTCCTCGCGCACTCATCCTCGCCACGGTTTTTCTCTTCGCGTCTTCTCGTTCTATCCGACGAAAAGTCGAAAGCACCGCCAAAAAGACGAGGCCGTTTCTCCTGGTAGACTCGCCCGTTGTAATTTATACGCCTGTTAAAATAGAAGACCGCCCCGAACCGGAGTTATATCCCGTTGACCTCACCGCTTTTTGTCGTCCTCCTTATTTCAACTTGGTTTTCTTCGTTCATCGTTTGTCCAACCACGGACGAGCAATTTTTGGGCGCTTGAAGCGGTCGACAAAGCGCTTTAGAGACCCGGACAGGAGTTCTTGATGAGCTTCTAAGACCGGAAGCGGAACGGGAGCTCCTAGTAGGAATTACTTTCTGTCCCTTTGAATAGTAGACGTAATGCTTCTCTCTTGTCCAGGAGAATTGATTCTACCCGACCACCATTCGATTCCTTTGTTCTAGGAACTTCTTTTGAAGTTCTTGCCGTTTCGAGTAGCTGTTATCACTTTCCTTGGAGAACGTAATCGACGGGGTGGGCTTGGTTATTGAACAGGAATCGTAGAGAATCGATCGTCAAATGAAAATGGACAAGCAATAAAGACATTTGAAAAAAGTATCGTGTTTTCGTTTTGCGTGCGCGCTACGATTTCTAATTAGAATCTACGAACACGATGGTCAAGCGTGAGTTTCTTCGTAAGGAACGACCGACTCGCGAGTGAATAGTGCCAGATCAGGAAGCCGAACGCGACGTGACATCGTGACAAATGGTTCAACCCGTACGTACGGAGAACAACAACTCCGCCTTGGACATGGAGTCGCTCGAGGAAATGCTCCGCAAGGTAAAAACTTTCCAGTAACTTTCCACTGTCGATTCACGACAACATTTTCTCCGGAGTAAAGTAGAATTGCACGAATCGCGTGCGATCGTTTGCCGAATTAGGAGAATATAATGACTCGACGGAATTATGCTTACGTCCCGTGGATCAGAAGACGAACGGGACGGGAGAGGCATGGGAGGTGCGTCAGGGGAGAAGGTTTTTTAACTGCTACTTCCTGTAATGTATTCCGTCAGGCAACGTTGAATGGTCCACTTAGCGAGCATCCCGCGCCGGCGGCGTTCGCCAGAGAAGGAGCGAGCGCGTAAGCGCTTTAACGGCCTGTAAAGCCTTCCTCGAGTACTCGTACATGTGCGTGCATACGCGCGGGTAGCCCCCCCGCGCAGCCCTCCTAATAACCCGCTAATGGTCAATTCAGCAGAAAAGTCACCCTCGTCCATCGAGCACTATCGAGGACTCTCGTGTCGCGTTTTCTCCACGTGACCCGCCATATAATTCTGCGACCCTCTAGACCGAAAAGAACAGCGCGGTGAAAACGATATACCGCGCCCCCTTGTGCTCTCACGATTTTTTTTCACCGCCGGTGTCGAAAGGGGAGCAAAACAGACGCGTTCACGCTCCGGACCGGACGGGTGTGGACAAATAAACGTGAACCGATGCGATGGAACGAGGAAATATCCTTTAGGAATTATTGATTCAGGAAGTGAGCCGCGCGGCCCCGCGAACTTTCCTACCTACCGTTTCTACCGACGTACGTACGCGGCTAAATTGTTCCGAACCGAGAAGTTTCTTTTGTAACCAGCCGCGCGGTGTGTATACGAGATGCGGTTTAGAGAGGGTAGAACGCGAACTCCGCCGGAGGGATTTCCTCTTTGCCAGAGCCGAATAACACCCCGTGTTCGGTGACATTGTAATCGACTTTGCACAGACTCTGATGAGCTCTGATGTTGATTCGGGGAGCGTACGTAACGTATGCGTGTGTGCTAAGACAACAAAACTTCTTGGGACCATCCCGAAATTCTGTTGTCGTAGGATGTTGATCAAGTTTCTTTTTTCTGGTCCTGTCCGAAAGAGTTTACTAGATCGCGGAGCCGTTAACCGTGACTATTTTGTTATAGACATTTTAATTTTCGATCGATCCACGTGTCCAACCAGGAACGCGGACTCGAGAAAAAAGCTCAGCGCGCTCGACTGATGTGGAGGAAAAAATCTCTTTAAACGAGTTGCGTTCTTGTTTTACTTTCTTCCGCACCGTTCACCGGGTGAATCTCTCTCTCTCTCTCTCACGAGACGTTTCACACAGTGAGCTCTTCTCCGGCTTTCTTCTAGCTTTGACTTTGCTCGATGCAATAGAAAACAAGAGTAACCGGGAGGTAGGAAAAAGCTCGACAGCTGCAGTAATGTAGCTTTAATGCGGCGCGGGGGAAAGTTGCCGTTCCCCTTTGACGATTTTCCACGTCAAACGACTGCGCTGATTTTCGCGTGGGCGTTCGTGCTAAAGTATTAGCTCCTCTCCTTTCCTCTCTCTGTCACTCGCCATCAGCTGTCTCCGCGCGTTCTGCATTTTTTCTGCTTTTAGTCAGAGAAGAGGAAAAAAGGAAAAGCTATCGATGATCGGGTAAAGCTGTCGCGCAATAGACCCCGGAAAGATAGTTTGTCGAACCATGAAGTTATATCGCTTCTGCATGCCAAATTCAATCTCTTTCAAGTATTTTTCTGCTTCAGCTGGCGCCACGCGTTCTTCGATCATCGCAGAAATAAAATTTCATGGAAATTTATAGCCATTCCCTGCTCTTTTTTCAATTTTACCCTACATAAAGTATAAAAAGAAGAATTGAATAGCACCGTTTCCGTAAATTAAGAGAAGTGATACTCTTCGCTAATTATTCAAGGAATCTTCTTTTTCCTTTTTACCGTTATAACCACGTTGCTCACCTGGCCACGCAAAGGGTTGTGAACAGAGTTACTTTTTTTTTTTTCTCGAACGGCAGCTGCTTCTGATTTGAACGTTACCAGCGCGTCTCATGAAACATTCATGTCCGATGGCCGCGGAAAAGCACGACAAAATTATAAACGGTCCTCTCGAGCCGAGGCCGCCTATATTCCGCGAACTTCCTCTCGCCACTATTTTCATTTTAATTGGCGTTTGTTAGGCCGCAGCCCTTCTCCCCTATTTCATTACATCGATGCACACAGAATTCATCGCCGTACTCGCGAGGGAAAATCGCCAGAGGTCGAATAAATCGACCATTGAAAGGACCGAATTAACCGTCTTCATGCTACTTTTCGTCTTCCTTGACGAGTTCAAAGAGATCCATTAAATGTCGTTTCTGAATCTCTTAACCCTGAACGGGGGGAACTTATCCATGTTCTACTTCTATGTAGTGCGTTATAATGAAGTTGTCGCTTGATAACAATGATCTTTTATTACCAGTGGTATTTGTTCTCTTAATACGTTTTACTGTACGTTCGCTAATACAAGAGATAACAACGTGTCTCTCTAACTGTATTATTAAGGAATTTTCCATATCAAAGATCTGAATAAGAAAATTCAAGGAAAGAACTTTGCTATTGTTAATAAAGCAACGTCGGAGATAAGACGAGATGTTTGACAAACTCGAGAGAGACATTCATCTCCGTGGCAAAATAATTTATGCATGGAATGCATAATCCACAGACATATTTGCATGAGCATAGCTGGCTGGCTTAAGGATGTATAGGCCATACACTTAAACAATGCTAGCATGTTGAATTTGTTACTATAGATTCCTATTACTATTAGAAAGCTACCTCCAAATTTTAAATCAATTCACGGACTTTTTGAAAAATTATAGTGACTTAAAATTTGCATGCATTCTTATGGTAATCAGCAGTAACCCAAAGAAAACTTTTTGGTACTTGGTGTCCATGCATGAAGTTGGAAGAAACAACTGACTTGAGGAAATACAAGCCTAAAAAGTCTGGAATTTTTTACGCTTTTTAGAATATATTTCGATATTNATCATATGTAACTCATTAAATATCGAAATCAGAAGAAAAATGTATAGAAACTTTCTTTGTAGAGGATATCAGTACCTACGACTTCCGTACAAAAAGCTTTTCGCCAGCGTCAACAATTAATTGAATATTTCCTTCTATACTTTTTAGCACGTAGCTATTTATTATTAGCATTGTTCTCCCGACGTCTGATTTCTTTTTAATTATAGGAAATGCGTTTTTCTAAGGTACATAAACTTTTGAGATTGACTGTATAGCCAACACATGCTTAAATAACGCTTGTCCGCTTTCGCAATTGTGCGAGGGAATACCAGTAATGCGAAATCATTTGTCCACGCGAATGTACCAGTTAATTATTCGCCAGCGAACGTTTGTCATGCATACCGGGGGCGGGGGTGTTAGTCATCTTCGTAATTAGCCACGTAATTAGCGTTTTCTTCGGCCGGATATCGAAGATTCGTGGAGATAACGCGGATTCGGTTAAGAATATTTCCCGGATTTCCCGGGTTACACGGAGTAATTTCCAACGATTTGGATCTGCGCTCGGAAGCACTTCGAAAACTCTTCTGTCTCTCTCTCTCTCACTCTATGGATAGGAAATTCGCTTCGAGGGAAATCGTCTCCGAGGGTCGCAAAAAGTTTTCAGAGGAAATTAGACTCGGTTATTGGGATTTCAACCCGATTTTTATTCGTGAAGGAAATTTTCTCCGTACAATAGAAATTTACAGCTTCCTTGGCGACAGTCAACTTCTGCCCTAGAATAGTGTAACGGGTTAAAGTATGCTGTTCCCATCTCTTCGTGTTTTCACGCGGTTGGCTTCGAGGCAAAACGAACGATTTCCTGACACGCTGGTGACAACGACGACGATGACAAAGCTTCCTTTTAGCCCGTGGTCGTTGCACCTCCGGTTCCTCTTTCCAACGTAAGCGATACAAAATTTTCCCCTCCTGTGGCTTCTCACAGGACCCATTTGAAATTGCGTTATCAGAAAATATTCTCTTGTTAATAAAATGTCAAGCATGATATATAACCGAGGCAGGCTTAAAAATATTAACTCAGCCCCTTCTCCAAAGTTCGTCTCAGCAAATTTCGGTGATGAGAGGACTCGAGGAGTTTGCCTTGCCAATAACAACTCAACGACGGGGCGCGACGGGGATGTTAAACTCGAATAGAGTGTATCGTTATTGGCGCGGAAAATATTTCTAAGTTAGGAGAAAACGTTTGCGTAACTCGTTTATCGGGATCGATCCCAATTTGCGACCTGAGGAGCGAGCTGCGAATAAATGGCTAACTAACGAGGGAGCGCCGACCGCGAACAAGTTCGCGAACGTCGAGCAAATACTTGGACTTGTTGGTCCTCCTTCCTGTTGGTTGGTTCTGCTTCGTTATAGATAGAACTTGCGAAAACGTAGACACGAGCGATGACAGACGTAACGAATAGCGTTAGAACTCGAATTGGAGAATCGCCCGGGTGGAGAAATGGATATCGTACAAAACGAAGCGTAGAAAGATGATTCAACGATTGTAAAAGTGAATAGTAATTTTTATTGAAGTCAAAATTGAAAGAGAAAATTCGCAGCACGTTGTTGGAGAAAGTTTAGAGAGGACAGGGGTTGCTCACCCCTGGCTGAAAAGCGATCGCGACTGGCAACGACGCGGCACAATCTCTCTCGGGCGCGCACCCCCTCTGTTAAAAATGAGACTATTCGCGAGCACTTTGGCGCGAAACGGCGGACCGCTTTGTCGGAAAATCGTGAAAATATTTCAGCGGCTTTTCCGGGGCGGCTTGATGCCATCGATATAATAAGAGCGCGGCTGCTGCTGCGCGGCGGCTGCTCTTCAGCCCCCTCTGAGCACAGACTCATCCGGCACGATAACTCCTCCAAGAAGCAGAAAATAGAAATGGATAGAGTAGTAGGGTGGCTTATACCCCTCTCCTTCTTTTTCTACGTCCTGCCCCCTTTCGCGAAGACTTATCCGGCATTAACCGCGCAATCTGAGAATC